AAAAACTCGAAATTCATTTTGTTGAGGTGCTCACCCTAACCCTTTTCTTCTCTTCCCTCTACCTTTCCCTGTGAGCCATGATGCTTTGTAGGCTTAAGCTGATCGGTTTATATTAACAACACGACCATGAATTTTGCAGTTTTACATACGATATTCATCAACGCTGAAGGCAAAACAATACTCCCAAGCTGAAATTGCGCTATTACCATAGACTGTATCATGCCCTCCCTCCAAAAACTATTCTTATCTTTTGTAGTTGAATGCACGATTAAGGAAGTAAACGATTAGTAATGGTTTGCAGTGTTTACCTTCTGAGTCAGAAAGCAAAGTGCAAACAAACAGACACCGTCCAGATCTATAAATAAAGCTTCAAAAATAAACATTAAGGTGCAAGTGATGAGGAAATCAAAAATTTCTATTCAACTCTGTCAAAAGACATAAGGGAAGCAAATAATGGAGTGCAGACAAGAATAGCAAACGCATTTTTCTTAAAGTAGGTATTATATTCTTGACGGATTACAGCTGTGGTTTGAATGACCATCCAGGCGCTTGCGCCGCTGCCTTACTTAATATTTCTCTTCCTTTTTTCAGTAAAAACTATACTATCGAAGAGCAATATGCTGATACCATCTCCAAAGAATACTCTGCCAAAGTGGATTCTTTAGATTTTGATCAAATTGAGGAGACCGCCAAGGTAATTTTTTACACAAATATGGAAAGTTTTTATAGTTGGAGTTTAGACCATAAACGATTTTGTGGGTAATGCAACAGTCGGAAAGATAAAGAATCTTATCACAGAGGAAATGGTAAAAGGCAAGGCAATTCTTAATAGTTATATGAATTATCGCCCAATTTTTTCAGAAGCGTTCTCCCTGGTAGTTAATGCCATCTATTTCACAGCGAAATGGGAGTTCGAATTTTCTAAAGAGCTGACTGCAAAGGCAATGTTTCATAGCTCTGAAAACCAGGAAAAGGAGGTGAGAACACTTTTATTTTTTGTTACCCATTAGAAGTTGCTCTACTCATTCAAAATTTCATGTAACATTATCTGATGTTTTTGTT